AAGCCAGCGGGTGACTTTGGTCCAATCACCAGTTGACAATGAGTTCTCATCCTGCCTTAGCCATGAAAGCCAACTGGGTGATCTTGGGCCATTCAGTCACTCCCTCTCAGCCCAATCCACCTCACAGGGTTGTTGTTGTGGGGAAAATAAAAGGGGGAATATGTGTTGGATATGCTTGCTGCCTTGAGTCATTTGTAAAAATAATAAACATGAGATACAAATAAATACATAAATTTGGGTGCATACTGGGAAATATGAGCATATGAGAAATTCTATAAATTATTTTAAGCTATGCTCAGCTCCCGATGACTTCATTGAATCATCAATGTTATTTCAGGGCAATATAGCTTGCAAATGCCATCTTTCACAATGTTTGAAGAGAGAGGGAGGGAGGGAGAGAGAGAAAGAGAGAGACACACAGAGAGAGTTATGTAGAATAGATTGGCCCAGATCTTAATAGCCCATTAGCAAAGGTGTGTGTGTGGGGTGGTGGTGGTGGTAAATGTCTGCCTCTCTGAGTTTCTACTTCTCTTTTAGGAGAAATATTCTGCTTTTTTAGTATATCCAAACATATTTCATTTTCCTAGGAGAGAGGTGGGTTTGAACTTCCAACACCAGTAATATGCAAATTCAAGACGATTTAGTTTTTCCAAATCCATTCTAGTGGTATGATAAAATGGTTGTCTTAAAGTCCTCAAAAAAGGAGCTGCATCTTAGATTAGTAGTTTATAGACCCTATAAACAAAACAGGATGAGATTTCTCCGAACAGTTTTCTCTGGAGTGTAGGAAAAACTGCAGTAGAATAAGATAATAACACATAGGATTAAATCTTTACTTTTACCTCATAATATATACCAGCCATTTCTAGAACAGCAAATTATTATCTTATTCTACTGTGATAAAAATAGTCGGAAGTCAATGCTTTTCTCTCTTTTCCCTCTTTTATCTACACTTTCTTCTCTTCCCTTCCTTCTCCCCCAATTTTCCACTTTTTAAATTTTTCTTTTATATGTTATGTTTTGATAACCTAATAAAAAAAAAATTGGAACCGGGAGGGTAGGAAAACCAAGCTGAGATCTAAGCTTTCAAAATGTATATTATGCTTCTGCTTCATTTCTTCATTACAAGATTCTTCTTCTGATTCAGTCTTGTCCATGTTGAAGTCATGGACACTTGTGCAAAATATATAATAAAAAGCAGCACAATCAACTAAACCAATAATGATAATTGTCAATAGTGACAGGGGCCTTGGATGCAACCCCGAAACAACTGGAGCAACCACTGGAACACCATGGGCATTGACAAAATCCCTATCAGTCAATTGCAAAAAGGCAGCTTTGCTTGGAAAAGCTTACATCCTGTGACGATATCTGTAATACCATTGTTGGAAGAAATATCCTTCTGGGTTCAGTTCCAAGTAGGGAAAAGACACTGGAAACATGGAGGTTGTTTGGAAAGATGGTTTAATGGTGAACAGGACCACATGGCTTGGAGCTCCAAAGTGAAAAGGATGATCACATGCTTCAAGGTGAAAAAAAAAAAAAGGGGAGGGCCAAGATGCTGATATACCCTCTATTGCAGGGGTCCCCAACCACCGGTCCGTGGAACAAGTCCTACTGGGCCGCTGGTTTGCTGGGTGCCGCCATCTTGTTTTGATGAAAAAGTGCTTCTGGTGAGCTCACCGGAAGCACTTTTTCATCAAAACAAGATGGCGGCGCCCAGCTGATGCCGGTACCGGGCCGCGGCATAAACAAGGTTGGGGACCACTGCTCTATTGGACCTCCCACCCTAGTGTTTCCTGTTCCTGTGTAAGAAATGTATCCTATTGGCTGTCAGACTCCCAGGGTCGGGGTCTTAGCTAACTTTGTAGGCTTTGTCTGGATCACATGGCTTCACCTGAGTGCTGGCTGATGCAGTCTTCCCAGGCCAGGTGGTGAGATGGGTAGAGGGCTTTGTTATGTAGAATACTCTGGCCCAGGCCTTCATGGCCCCCCCCCCCCATTAATAAAGGTGGGGGTTGAACTTCTGCTTCTGAGGTGTGTTTCTGCTTCTGAGTTTCTACTTCTCTTTTTAGGGGAAGTATTCTGCCTTTTTAGTATATCCTAAAATATTTCATTTTCCTAGGAGAGGGGTGGGTTTGAACTTCCAACACCATCAAACATCAACACCTGCCTATCCCAGCCTTCCCTTGGGAAGGACTCGATAGGCGGATAGAAACGGCAAATCCAGTCTGAACATCTGGCTGACTTGGCGACGAATAATAACAGTAGATTATTGGTATGAAGTAGAATGAACACAGCTAGTTCCCTCAACTTACTGTTGTGATTTAGCCCCAAATTTCTGTTGTTGGCACATTTGTGAAGTGAATTTTGCCTCATTCTGTGACCTTTCTTGCCACAGTTGCTAAGCGAATCATGGCAGTTCTTACGTTGGTTGTTAAGTGAATCTGGTTTCCCCCTTGAGTTTGCTTGTTAGAAGGTCACAAAAGGGAATCATATGACCCCGGGCAGCGGTGGGATTACATTTTTTTTACTACCAGTTCTGTGGGTGTGGCTTGGTGGGCGTGGTTGGTGGGCGTGGCAGGGAAAGGATACTGCAAAATCCCCTTCCCTCCCCACCCCACTAACCTGCTTTCCAGCTCCGTTCTCCTGCGCAGGGCAACCAGAAGAGACCCAGCCAATCAGCTCGGATTCCGGAGGCGGAGAATAAATGTGGGCGGGGCCAGTCAGAGGTGGGATTTGCCGGTTCTCTGAACTACTCAAAATGTCCGCCGCCGGTTCTCCAGAACTGCTCAGAATCTGCTGAATACCATCTCTGACCCCGGGACACTGCAACCGTCATAAATACGAGTCAGTTGCCAAATCTCTGAATTTGGATCATGGAAATACTGCAACGGTCGTAACTGTAAAAAATGGCAATAAGTTACTTTTTTCAGTGCCGTTGTAACTTCGAATGGTCACTCAACTAGCTGGTTGTAAGTCGAGGACTATCTGTACTGGCACAGAATGTATTTATTTTTAGTCATTTCTTAGATTTTTTTTTGTTACCCCACCTAGAATATTCCACAGATTCTTTTTTTCCCCCTTGCAGATGAGATAGTGGTTTGTGTTATTGTGGTGGGTGTTGCTTTCCATTACACCCACAACTTTTCCTCTCTGACCTTTGAAGGTGACCCAAGAACACATTGTATTTAGCTTTTATTGAGCGCACAGCTTTCATTAATGTTTTATTGGGAAAGTAAATATCTGATTCCCTTAACTTATTTACATCCGCCTCGTATCACAGAGGGTTTGTCATATTAAATATTAATTGCTCTTCTTTGGAAAAAATCTATGCTTGGTTAGGAAGGATGCTACCCTGTATTTATGTATGTATCTCTGTCTCTCTTGATTTATTTATTTTTTAAAGTGGGAGGAGGTTGGAAGAAAATATATTTTTTCCTTTTCCTTTTAAAGGGAGCTGCATGTGCACTATGTATTTTTACCTGTTGCAAGTGAATTTTAGGTGAATATTGGAAAGCACCACTTTGGGCTTTTTTTTTTCAAGAATACCAGGGTGAATGGAAAGTGTCAGAAGTAATAAATGCATCCATCAAGACCTGCCTTTTTGTCTGCAGTGGTTGGTTCCTGTGGAGGGATCCTATTTCCATAGTGACCATCTTAGTCCGTCCTACAACATTTCTAGATTAAAAAAATACAACCCTCTGATACAGAAGAAAGATTACAGATTAACAGAGTTGGAAGAGACTTTGTAAATCATCTAGTCCAACCCCCATCCAAGCAGGAGGCCCCCACACCATTTCTGACAGATGGGAGTCCAATCTCTTCTTGAAAGCCTCCAGTGATGAAGCTCCCACAACTTCCGAAGGCAACTTCTGTTCCATTGGTTGATTGCTCTTACTGTCAGAAAGTTTCTCCTTATTTCTAGGTTGAATCTTTCCTTGTTTGGTTTCCATCCACTGTTCCTTGTCTGGCCTTCGGGTGCCTTGGAAAACAGCTCGACTCCTTTCTCTCTGTGGCAGCCCCTCAAATATTGGAAGACTGCTATCCTGTCTCCCCTGGTCCTTCTCTTCACTAGACTAGCCATGCCCAGTTCCTGTAACAGTTCTTCATATATTTTAGCTTCCAGTCCCCTAATCATCCTGGTTGCTCTTCCCTGCACTTTTTCTGGCGCCTCAACATCATATTTTATGCAGTCCACTTCTAGCACAGTTTTGCAAGTTGTTATTCCTGAATCAACTCTATCCTATTTGTACATTAACTTATAATTCTTTTTATTTAAAAAAATCCATGCATAAAAAATTCCTTCCTTCCATCCATCCATCTAAGTTTAAACTTGAAATACATTGGGACTAAAACCTCTGGCAGCAAAAATCTTAAAAGCCACTAGATGGCAGCAAAGAGATACAGACAATTGGCTCTCATCTAATGGTTGGGCCCAAATATGATAGCTTTCTCTTTATATTTCAAGCCTGCCCTTTCTCTGCAGCTGGGCAAAGTCAAACAAGGAAGAACTATCTAGTTTTCAATATAGTAAGGTGTCTTGAATGATAGTCCTGGAGTAAATGCAAATTCTTGCAAATGGAAAAAGCCATTTCCCACC